TACTTGTAAATTATTTTTATTATAATATATATATATATATATATATATATATATTACGTGGAAGTACGATTAATGAGAAAATGAACAAAATATACAAATACAAATAATACAAACGAGGCAGCTGTACAAATATTCATCTTCGATAGCGATACCAATATTTTCACTACAAACCACTTTCAGGCATTTCTCACAGATAGGAAAAGTCTTATTTTTCCTCACGTATGTATGGAAGATGCATTTCATTTGTTTATTAGAATATACTCTATCGTTGGAGGGAGGCACTTGAAAAGCTTATTTCTTCTGTAAGCTCACGAATATATTCTCGTCGTGTAATTGGGGTGCAAGCATTGCAATAAACAATGTCAAAGATTTCGTAGAAATGATGGACAGTGCATCAGTGAATTCTACATCATGCAGCACATTTCCTTAGTTATTGGTCTGCAACTTACTATATTAATGAGTGATTGTAACATCTTTGCGATGTGTCTTGAAAGGCATTCTTGCTCATACTACTCAGAATCAGAATATCTGCCGAATATTTAAACACCATACCTCGATAACACATTAAATAACAAGGAATTTTTTCACACAATTATAAAACTTGCTCATCCAAAGATAATTACTTGATAAAATAAAATTTTTCTCAAAAATAAGGTATACAAATTTTCACATCATTTTAATGAATGTAATATTATTGGGAAGATGAATACTGTCAGAAAAATTGGTAAAATTGCATCTCGGAAATTAATTTTTAAAAAAATCGGTAAGTTAAATTTGTTTTTTTTTTAGGAATTATTCGGTCAATTTCGTTTAATTTGTCAGTGTTTCTTTGAAAGTAGTATGAGATTCAAAATTTTTATTCCAAAATTCTCAGCACTGATTCTGGTAGACATTTGAAAATAAGGTTCCTATTGACCCAGGACTTCTGCATTTCTGGGATCCCTCTCTTTAAAACATGAATAATTTACTTCTTAATACATGTATAAACTCGTTTCGGCTGCTATTTTGTGTATATTGAAGGCATTCATAAAATTTTAGCAATTAAATTAGAGAAAACATCTTCTGTTAAAAAATTAAATTGCGCTGGTTTATTTTTTAATATTTTTCCAACTTGAATGGGTTATTGACAAATCTGACTTTTAAAAATGTATTATTTTTTTACTTCAGCTTTTTCATATGTTTTTATTATGGATACTAAAATCTGTTAATAAAATAAAAATAAACAATCAATGCCATAAGAAAACTAGTGTTAAATTGAATGATTTATTCATTGATATGGGCAAAGACGCATGCCCGCTTTATTTTATATTTTAAGAAAAGAATTATTTTTCATGCACGCTATTTTTTTTGTGTCTTGATGAATCTAATTTAGCAATTAAGATAACCCATTTTTCAAAATTTTTACGTTTTGTCTAAAATGGGTTAGTATGCAAACTTTTAGTATCCAATCTGTTTATAAGCAAAACAAAGAATTTAAAAATTAGAAAAGTGTTATGGATAAAAAATCAAAGCTTTAAATTATGACTGACCAAACATCTGCATCAAAGAAAAGCTACAAGAATTATTCCGACTTTCTCCTTCAACTACTAATAAAAGACAAAAATAATTTTTTTTAATGTATTTAATGTTTAGTTATAATTTTGTGCTGTAAAAAAATAACAAAATTAGTACAATAATGTTATGCAGAAAAATGCTTACATTGCACAAATAGTGTAAGGCTGTCTTGTAAGGCACTTTCAGGTAAATGAGGATTTTGAGCTTTGCATGTGATTTTCCTTCCATTGTCATCTGCTGAAACGTTCATTTGCATTATACTTATGGTTATATGATCATATAGGTGAGTAGATGAAGGAGAGACAGTATCGTTCTCTCGTAACCAAATTATTTCTGCCGGAGGCTTAGAACCTTCACTTTGGCAACTGATTTCTATTTCATCACCATTTGTTAAGACCTCCAAATGAGTTGTTATTTTTACGTTCAGTGGCTTCACTAGTCAGAAATAAAAGCAGCTATGTTAGTAACATTGTTTTTTTACTTGTTTTAAACAAAGTCTGGGTACACTTAAATTATTGAAAAATATGATTTTTTTGATTGTAGACTATTTTTTGACACAATTTTGCTTACACATTAATACTATTTAAGAGCTTAATAAATAAATTATGCAACACAGCGCTATTGTTTAATGCTTCGCATCAGATAGTCAAAACAAACAGAAACTAAGAGCTACATTTTGTGTATATATNTGCATATTATATATGCAAAGCTAGAGAGTGGGGCAAAATATGTTTTGCTTTATTTGATTTGATGCTTTATGCGAGAAGAAACCCTTTACATCAAAAAAAATTGTGCTTCATTTTATGTGTTAGGGAATTTTAAAGGGAACATTTTTTAAGTAATCTCTATCACATGTGCTATAAGGGATTATTTAACAATAATTATACAATTCGAAAATAATTTCTTAGAGTTTTCTCACAGGATTTTATTAAGAGAATACTGTTGTTGCCTCCGTAGGTTTTAGTCAATTTTAAAGGCATGATGTGAATTACTATTTGCTTGCACTTGTTTTGTTCTGAATAATGAATTAAGAAAAATAATTTTGACAAAGTAACGACACAAAAAGATAGGTTAAGTCTTTTTATATAACATCCCTCTCTCCCTAAATTTGAATTACCATCTAAGAATTTTCAAAATTTTGAATTTGTGAGCGAAACATCCGTACGTGAGAAGCATTACCTATCATGAGGAGGCGAAAAATTGTAATATTAACATACAAACAATAGATAAAAGTAACATAGAATGTAAAAATCACACTTTTGTTAAAGGGTTAAAAATTTAACTCAGTGGAGAAATGATGAAAAGGAAAAATGTTTTATAGTAGCTCTACTATTTAATTTTGATCATCATTCTCAATTGTCTTATTCACTTATATGTCTTCAGTTCAAATTTATTTGTTTAAAGTGCAGGATGAAAGTTTTTCCTGAAGAAATATTCTTCATTATAACACATTTCAAATAATTTTTTCATTCAAAATGGACAATATTATTTATACTTTAAAAATGTAAAAATGGTAAAGATATTAAATATAAAAATATGAAAAATAATTGACAAATTTTGTTGTGGGAAAAATTTTCAATCTAAAATGAAAGTCTGCAGTATTGTATATCTTATTAAAGAAAATGACACAGTGCTCTTTTTTCTGAAGTTTAAGACTTTAGTATTTTCAGCGTAATGTTTGTTGGATAAGGGTCTGTAATCCTCAACAGTGCTGAATCTCAGATATAAAATAAAAAATTTATCAGTTGGTGGTGTTGATACAGAGAAGAGAAAAAAGATTAATTTCGCCACACTTTTGTTTCAGACATGTGTAGACGTTGAACTCATCAAAAGTTAAAAGTCAGATCTTCCGGAAGGCATTAATAAATTTAAAATGACTTTAACATTACATTTAAGAGAACAAAAATCAAATATTTTATTTTTAATTAAATTTCGAATTTGAGCACCTGAAAAATTTACTTCAATAATAGAATATTTCCCTTGAATATATTATTATACTATGCTGAATTATGAAAAACTATTATAATATTTCATTATATATTATTTGTCAATAATATAATATGAAAGAAATAATAACTATCAGTAAAACTCAATAAATGTTATTACTCTTTAAACATCTTGTATTTTCACTGTCATAATTATAAAATATTTCAATACTTAGAACATTATTATTAAAGCAAGAATCGACAGATCAAAATAAATAAAATTACTTTTTATAATAATAACAATGCATCAATCTGTTTCAAATCATCTGAAATATTATCATTAATTCAACTTAAAAATTATCATTTTTAAAAAATAAAACTGTAAAATTTTTAAACCACTAATCAATATCAATTACTTTTTCTTTCACAAATTATGTTGTTATATGGACTTAAAATTTTTAATAGAACAAAAGCATAGATTTAAAAATCTGTATCACGTAAAAAATAATAATAATAATTTTGAAGGTTAATTTGTTCTCATTCAGGATATTATTTTTCTCCCAAATCACCTATTATTTCCGATAATTGCACACCTTGAATAATCTTTAATACTCCATCCATTACGCCTTTAGAAGAATGCATTTAAAATGACAATCAACATTCCATTTGTCTTTCCAAAATATTTTTCTCTTTTATATTAAAAACAATTAAACACTAAATGGTAATCTTCTTAAAGGCACAGTATCATAATCGCACATGTTCTCTGGAAAAATCGCAATAGAGTGGGAAAAGCACATTTCTTTTACACGCATTGTAGTTTAAAATGTATTGATGTAGTCTTCATTCATACGATTGTGCTTTGGAAGCGCTTTTACTTTATAAATTTCCCAGTAAACGTGTTATAAATGTTATAAATAGCGATAGATTCTAGATTTTGTGTGACCATACATAATTCATTATGTACGGGATATTCCAAAATGTTTCGGAAAGCAATTGTAATTTGCAACAGAAGACAGCAGGATGTAAGATTCATTATAGACGTATTGTATGGTTCATGAGGTCGTAAATGTAATAATTTGTCGATTGCCCGAATTCAACAACATTTAACTAAATAATAAAGCTAAAATCTTTCCATACGGAAATTTTTGAAACGGGGGAAATGAAAGCAAAATCATAATTCGTCTTTGTAAAAAGTTAAACTTAAAAAAAAAATTTTTTTTTGAAGTTCATTATGAATATAAATAGTGATCATTCTTGGATACGCTAAAACTGAGGAAAAAATTAATATATTACAGCAAAAAAAAAAAAAAAACGTTATTACAAAATTAAAGACAGATTGGCCAATTGCAGTATTTAGTGAAATTTTTGAAGCATCATCATACGTTTTTTACCTAATTAAAAAATAATCAAATCGCGAAATCAATACTCTCTTTATCAGTGAAATATATCGTTTTAAAAAGACCAAGGGGGTAAGGACTAGCATCATCCCCAAGTTAAGCATATGTGGACAAGAGAGCCTTTTAAAGAAGGTTAAAGAAACAGATGGATTAAGCTCCAAAACAGGTATGTAAGACAATGATTAGTAAAATATGTGACAGTGAAATTTAAAAGAATGGAAGAATATTTTGCCTGTTCGTAAAACGGACAAAAAGTTATCTTAAGTACATGCCATTTAACTGTTTTAGGAGCAAGAAACAACTGAAAACAGTTTAATGAATAAACATAATTTGTACATTTTTCAATGTCCCTCTGAGCTATAAAATGTATTTGTGAGCAAGTTAATTGCGAGTATTTATTATAATTATTTAATTTTTTACTACTATCAGAATACTCGGTAAGAGCTGTAAAATTAAAATAAATTATGACAATAAAATTATTTTCCAGCTTTATTTAAGCTCAATATTTGCCTGGATCTTTTTGGATAAATGTTCATTTCGTTAATAAAACGCGTGAAGCATTTGAAATATAACTAAAATTGTACTGTAAAAAGTGATTTTTCATTTTCTTCCATTAACTCTTTTTTGAATAAATAATTTCAAGACAAATACCAACTTCAAAAATGTATTAAAGTAACCATTGATAAATGTGATATTTATTTTTCTCGAATGTGAAAGTAAATCTTGAATAATTTCTTTCTCTATTAATTCGAATTTTATAAAAAACACACGCATGTTTTATAGTAATTATCTTCATAAGTTTGACCCTGAACCACAATATCTATTATAAAATTTATATTGTGATGTTTTAAAAATTTAATCCCTGTTCATAAATATACTAAAATATTACAAGAATTGCAATATGGTGGTTATTTTAGTTTGGAAGGATTGTATAAATGTTTGAAATAAAGACATAAATCACATCTTAGTTATGAAAAATGTATGATGATATAATTATTTTTTGGAAACTATTCTTTAATTTCACAATGTCAGTATGCATATATAAATTTTTAAGTAAAGTAGCAGACATTTCATGGCTGGATCCACTTCCGCAGAATTATTAAAGATTTTACATTCACTAAAAATTATGTTCGGAACAAGCATATTTTACTTTTTTAATAGTAACAAGAAACAAATTAAAAAAAGTCTTGAAATCATAGACCATATAAATTAAAAATAATTAATGGCAATTCATAAATATAAAAGAAAATTTATTATTGAAAAAGAATTTTTTTAAATTAAAAATTTATATGGAGGCAATAAATATTTAATTAATAATTCAAATATGTAAAAGTTTATAAAATGCGCACGTACTCACAATTCATGTTGAACATCACTGAAGAAAAAACTGGTGATGTAATATTATTGTTCATTGCGTGGCATGTTAGAATGGTTGATAAGTCTTCTCGTGTTAAAGAATCAATAACAACTATATTCATCACCATACCATTGTGATCAACGTATGTAGTGCTTTCTAATTCCCTTTGTTCCTTCTTCCAAAAAACGCGAGGTGTCGGTCTGCCTAAAGAAAATATATAAAGATACTCAATATAAAGTATTTAGATATACTGAATATCTTTAAAACAATATAATTTTACTTCTTAAAAGGGATATACCTCCAGTTGCTTCACAAATGAGAGTTAGCTTTTGACCTTCTGAAAAAGGTCCAATTACTCCAGAATAGGTAATATTTCTTTCACCTCTTATTCTTACATACTTAACAGGAACTAAAAAAAACATAGATTTCGTTTTGAATTACATATTAAGTGAATATTACAGTGATTTTTCAGAAAAATGGGTTCAACGTTGGACTAGATTCGCTCATACCAGTGTATGAACATGTATCTTGTATCATAATACAAAATGAATCGGCTGCAATCTAAATACATTGTTAAAAGGAACAATGTTATCGTGTTATGCAGTCAATAAGTAGGATAATGTGCTTAAATTTGGCACTATGTTAATTTTGCTGTACATTATTACGGATTAACATGCTCAAAAATTTCTAGACATGTAGAAAAGCATGTTAGATGAAGATTAAAATTTTTCACAATTCTAAAATCTAAAAAATTATAAAAAAAAAATTCATTTCACTTATTCAATTTTGCTCAAATGCCTATCTGTGTTTTTGCAGCACATCTCCGCTCACGTTATTTAAATTCCCCTAATATTTATAAGTTATTTTATATAAAACATAATCATGAAATACCTGTTAAAAAACTGCAGCAGCTTGAAATGTTTTTTAATCCTTTGTTACAGTCTCAAGCAGAACCGGATTATACATTTCGTAGGCCCTAGGCACAGAGCCGGATTATACCTTTCGTGGGCCCTAGGCATAGCCGTTTTTGGGCTCTCCCTTCCTTCCCCCACTCCTTCCCTCTTTTTAAAATATATGCTAAAATTTTCTTCCATATTTTTTTTTACATTTTAATTAATATGGATTTTAATTTACAAATTTGTTTATCGAACTTCATCTGCAATACCGACATACTGCCGATATTGCAGTTGATATCGATAATACCATTATGATTAGTTCGATCGTTAGTACTTTTCCTAACGTTCACATTGCATTAAGAATATATTTGTCGATTCTTGGATCAAATGCAGAAGGAGAAAGATCTTTCTCCAGATTAAAATTGATAAAAAATTATTTGCGTTCAACAATGAATCAAGATCGTTTGGCATCGCTCGCACTTATGTCTATTGAATACGACATTTTGCGTAGTTTGGAATTCGACAGCATAATACAAGATTTCGTTGAATCCAAAAAAGTAATATATTATATCATAAGATTCTGCAAAATAATTTATTACCGAAAAATATTATATTTTTATTTGTATCTTCATAATTTTGTGCAAATTACACTTGTTGTTTTTAAAGCTAAATTATTTTTGTCAACAAATTTTTTTCTTCCAAGTTTTTCGTAGGCCCTAGGCGCGTGCCTAGTGTGCCTATAGATTAATCCGGCCCTGGTCTCAAGTAAGCAAAATAGTCTAAACACCTTTACTCCATAACACTGGTTTTCAACCTTCGGGACGCGGACTGGTACCAGTCCATGGATCAAAGGGTAACGGGCCGTCCGAGGAACACTAAATTATTTTTATTTTGTTTACTGTGGTGCATTTCTCTCGGGTGTGTACGACTTTCCATAGACGAGAGGTTAACCGAGAGCTGAGAGTCGTCACCGTAAGTCTAATCAATACCCAGCCTTGAAATTGTGCTTTATTTTGTAAGCATATTTACAGACGTTTAAATTAAAGAAAATAAATCAAAACAATCTAAAATATAAACAATCAAGAACCCTCTTCAACCGCCGTGGTAAAATTATCAAACGTTGACCAGTCCGGGGAGATAAAAAGGTTAGGGTACACTGTGTTCTCACTTTTTAACTCAGTAAGCAACGTGCTTCATCTCAGAAACATTCAGATAAAAATCTTTCTATCTATGTTAAAAAAGCATATAAACAAATAAATCTATTCTTAGCACCCTTTAAATAATTTTATGACCATTATGACGCTTTGGCTGCGCATTGAGTTACTTGCATAAAAAAATTATGCTTTATAAAATTTTTGACTACCTTAAGTAAACAATTTAATTACCGTATATCTAAACCTTGAATTCGACCAAACCGTTATCAAACCTTTCAACTGCCGTATATGCAACCTCCAAATCATTCCATGGCATCAAAGAGAAATAGTTTCCTTTAACTTACCAATAACATTGAGCTTTACTATTCGGTTTATCGTTCGGCCTCTTTTATAGTCTATTCGGCATCTGTACTCTCCTTCATCATCGTCCTTAAGTGGGTTTATTCTTAGATGAGCGGTGGCATGCTTTGTCACGTTGAAATAAGCTCTGGAACCGAAGATCTTACTTGAATAATGTTTGGCTTCAATGGTGTTAGTTCTGATGTCCAGGGTATATATTGGATTGGGAAAGTCTAATTTATACCACAGAACTAATTTTACTCCATCTTCATTAGAATCTTGGCTTAAATTGCAAGGGAGATGAATTGATGATCCTATTAAGGCAGATAATTCTGTGTAATCTGTAAGTGCAAAAATTCAAAATATAACTAAATTTATTCAATGTTTCGATGGTGGACTTCAAAATAACAATCACAATAATATGAGTTTCATAATTTAATGTTCAGCGCATCACTTACAACCAAATACTTAAGATTTCTTTTTATTACCGTTGCATCACCCTCCCTTATTTAGCTTATTCTAGTATATCACCCGTTTTCTATTTTCTGGAAAATTTATTTTGCTTTCCGCCATTTTTTTTTAACATTTCAGTGGCATTAATACTAAGCAAACCTGATTTTACTTGAAAACATAAATTAATATTTCGCCACGTCATAACGTCGTATCCTAATTTAGGAAGAATGCAAAAAAATTATGTGTCATCAATTTGTTCCTTTTCTCCCCCCTTGTAAGGCCAATCCCTCAGACATAGGGGGAAAAACCCATACGCAATTGACAAAAAAAGTGCTGAATATTTTATTTTTAATATGTTGATTTGCATACTTATTTTGTAGTATCGGATTTACATACTATTTTTATACATTATTTATTTTTATACACTCATGACAATCTTAACATTGCATAAACGCAAGTCTGAATCAAAAATTTCAAAGAGAATCCATTTATAGAAGAGCAAAAATAAATGAAAAAGCAAATAGAAACAATTTTTTCAGTGAAACGAATAAAAAATTATAACTCATTTGGAAAAAAAAATGCAAGTTCGAGATTTAGAATATATTTTAAACAAGGTATTAAAGTATTAGGAAATTTAAATTATTTTAGTAAGCTCCAAAATTTAGCACAGGCGCAAAATAATGCATGCACGATAAATTTACCGAACAAATATCCCTTAAATTTTTGCTTGATTATAAAAAAAACTCTTATTCGGTATGTTCCTTACTTAAAAAAAACATTATTTAGAAGTAATCAATTAAACTGAAAGAGAATTTCAGCATTTATTCTATTTAATCAAAAACACTTGAGTGTTTTTTTTCCAATCTTTCAAATGAGTTTTTACAAATGCAAGATGAAATTTGGTGTAACTTTAATTTCTATTATTATAGAACTAAAAAAAAGCACGCCCTGAATATTTTATTTTTAATATGTTGAAACAGTTTTCATGGAAGAAATTATCTAGGATTCCTTTTAAAATAATGTAGATTGGAAGTATTCTACTGCATGAATTGTACAGTTGTTCTGATAAATAAGTTTGAAATTTTGCTTGTGACTGTTGAATATCTGCAAATGATTTTAATCATAAATTTGTTTCCATTCTCAAGTTCGTCATTCATTCTTATTATGTTCAATAACACAAGTATACTTTAATTTTTAGTATCAATTAAATAAAACATTGATAGTGATTTAAGTTAAAAAAATTGAAGTAAAAATAACTTACCTGAGGAGTCTTTAGCTGTACTTATAGCCTTTATTTTTATTCCAGGAATACCTGAAATAAATATGTATAATCCTTTTGGAAAAATAAAGTATTTTATAGAATCTGAAATTGAAAAAGTTATGGTCAAGTGTCATAAAAAATATGTCATGATCAACTCTTGAAAGACAAAGAATTTCTAATACTTGCTTATGAATCTGAATTTATGACAAATTATTAGCAAATCCTGTAAATTAAAAAAAAAATAAAGCAAAGTATCAAACGAATGAATGGGTTATGCTGTTTTATATGTTATATATAAAAGATGGCACTCTTGGTACCATAAGAGCTATTGGGGGCTTAAGGCCACAATAGCATTTTCCAGAAAGGATACTTTTTCCGTTTTTACGTGAAGTTTCTGTTTAAATGAATATTTTTCAGCTTAAAAAATAAATGATAAATTGAATTTTGAATTTTTCGTTGCTTCTCTGCATGTGCACAAAAAAATTTCGAGAGCATTTTAATTGCAGCTTCAAGTCAGCCCCAATCATAACTCAAATATATAGTTTTGTTGAAAGTTTAACTGTATAGTTTTTTTGAAGGAAAAAAAAGCAGGCATACTTAATTTTTCCGCTTAGGTGACTCTTTAGGGGAGAACAAAACTAGAAGAACCACAGTAAGCGAGAGAAAAAATAAATGAAAAACAGAACAAGAAAAGCAAAAGTGGTTTTTATTTTTCCATTTTTTGTAGTCAATGTTTAACTACAAGAACTCTCGCTCACTTTTTTTTTCTCATTCACGTCTCGCAAGTCTTCAAAATGGGCGCCTATTTTTGATCGCTTGAAACATGTCAACTGTTATTTCCGATTAGCATGTTTTTAAAGTAAATAAATAAATAAGTATTATCTTTTCACCTAGATCTATTTATTTAAGGGAATAAAATGTTTGTGATTTAGCTCGAAAGTGCTTTGCTACGCGCTAACGAACGGATTTTTTTTCTTCATGAGATAAACATTACAATCTTAAACAATTTATCTTAAAGATAAGACGATAAAGTAAAATCTTTATGCTCAATTATTACTCTAAATATTTAAATTTGACCTAATTACATATTTATCAGCTTAACTCATACGAGGGGAATGATAAAGCATCCATCTTAGTGATATCCACGTATATCTTTATGATCGGTTTTAAAAAGTGCTCGTGTAAAGAATATTATAATATAACAAATGCTTTCGGTACGAGGTCTCAAAAAATCATTTAATAAACTAAAACCTTCATTCTACTAAATTGATTCTTAAAAAATCAAAAAGTGATGTAGCAATTATCATAATAGTTTATACTAACTATTAAGATTTTATATTTTTACGATACTTTTGTTTTAACTTATACCAGTACAAACATTTCTCTTCTTCTTCCATCTTTATAAGTTAAGATTCAATTGTGTTGGGTTTTAATAAGTTAATAAATGCCTGTGCAGGGCATAGAATTTAATATTCTATATATATATATATATATATATATGACCNCAATGGTGGCTTCCCTTCCGCTTTATAATGGAGGAAAGGAACTGATGGAAAAAGAACAAAATTCTTTCCGATTAAATAACTTTCTCGTGAATAATGAGCCTTGTCACCAAGTTCGATAGCTCACTTTTCTGGCTTCTCAATGGGTGATCATCATTCAACTCTTTAAGTCGAACTCAACAGAAAATTAGAACTTCTCAAGAGAGTAAGAGATCAGAGTTTCTCTATCTTTTTCTCCGGAATTCCCAACAAATCCTTGGATATCGAGAAATCTTTTTAGGCGGAAAACACGGCTTAAAAGTTCGCCATGGAAAGCCAGCATGGAACTCATTGTTAAATTAATTACTGAGAGCTAAAGATTTTTCCGGTTCTGTTTACGGGTCGATAAACCGGTCCTGTATCCACGAGCGGAGCCAACCTTCAAATAAATTATTTTGCTTGAAGGAAGAGGATAAAGATTGTGGGTAGTGGAAAATAAGAAAGATAATGACGAGGGGGTTGCATTTGTGGTTGTTAAATCATGCGGAAAAACAGCTTTGTCTTAAGGGCATGCTTTTAATCGGGTAATAAAACTAATTCATAAGATGGTATCATTATGGGTCTGCTGTTTTGTAAGATATAAATGAATATTAAAACTTCTTACAATATCGTAGAAATCATATGTTTTGCATATAAAATGTATATAATTGATTAGGAAAAATTGTCCAAACTTGTATAAATCAAGCTTGTATGTAATCGTATTTTTACTAATTGGATACAGTAAATCGATATATTTATACACTCATTTTCCCTCGAAGAATGTTTTTTAAAAGCAATTTGAACTTAAATTTCTTTTAATAATCAACTAATAGGCCTTTTAAATGTTTTAATTTATTCATTTGTTTTTTTTTGTTGGAGTGATTTACTGGCACAAAGTTCCACCATTAAACTTCATCTGCCTACATTTAATTTAGAATAGATTTTAGTATTTTATTACGAAATTATTTATATAGCAAATAATGGTTCTCGGTTGGCTCTTTAAAAAGATTAAATTTTAAAACCTTAAAATCTCCAACTTCGACTAGCAAAAGTTTGTTTGAGCGTGTGGATATTTAATAAAAAATACCTAAAACAGTTTGGGAAAGTCAGTATTTTATTTCTAAAACGTGGCTTTGTGATTAGTCTGAAATTGAAATGGATTGTTCACGATCTACCTCAACAATTTTTAAATACTCAAGAGCTTCAGATTCATTAGCAATGGGGATAACAGTATCATACATATCTTTGGCAATAAAGGCCCTGAAAAATAGCATGTATGCAACGCATTGAAGTTGAAAGACAGTTACTAAGACATAATGGCACGTTTGAATTGATATTGATTCCTATTTGTTTTTTATTTATTCATTTGGCTTGTGCGATCAAATAAGGCTTATAAAGCTTTGTCAAGTAAAAGGACAGATAGCACAATTCATAGAAGCATTTCCAAACTTCGAACCCGTACTAGGTCATGAAAGACCCTGAACCGTATAGTTTGAAGTCTGGCCACTAGTCCTACCCAGCCACAACCAGGGAACAGGCCTAGTCAACAAGTATTTATTGAAATTTACAGAGTTACAGAGAAAAATAATGCATAGTTGTATAATACATTTTCAACAGATGTATGAGTGAATATATAAACGTGATTTTGAGAAAATTGTAAAGAAGAGAGGTTATGATTATTTACATTGAAGATTTATAAGATGATTGAAAACATGCAAGTATTCTGTTGATGTTAAGAGAAATGAAAACCAAGAAAAGAAAATAGTAAATAACAATATAAAAGACAGTTTAGAGTAAGTGAGAAAAGTGCACCGTAGTATTATTAACGTGGATTAACGTTAACAAAATTTAGAAAATCTGTACAATTACAGTGCGGCTTCAATGTGCAAAACATTGTCATTCGAGAAAGACTAAGCATTTAGGTGAGGATACGTTAATGATACGTTAATTAATAGAAATTTTGAGAATTAACAAAAATGCAGAAAACTAATGTTTAGATTAGTATTCTTTAATAGTCAGGTACGCTAAAGACTCGGCCACCTGGCCGGCAATTGTTGATTATATTCATTGTTGATTTGTATTTGTATTATGGATTTAGGCATTTCGCGTCTTTTAAGCTTGCAGTGAATTTCTATTGTAGTAACAGTTTCGGAAAATTCTCTAATTAGTTCTGTCTCAAACACGTGTTAGGTATTTGAATTTCTTTTCAAAAGCAAAAACGATTTTGCAGTCCTGCAAATTAAGTATTTAACAAAGGACAATTTCTTAGAATAGAGCAGCAAATAAATCAGAATGTTTCTCAACATCTCGAAAAAAGAAATTTTAATGCATAAAATTTTCCCCCCGAAAATTTTGTTCAATTTAGAAAATACATAAATCAAGTAGTTTAAACTTCATACTTCAATTTAAAGAAACACAATTTGCCATTTATTTTGGAATTCGCTATTGCATTCGAAAAAGTAAAAAAATCATATTATATTACCGCATGAATACTGAATATTTTCGATTTGAAAAAGAAGAGAGACATTGAATATTTGTTCTAAGCTCTTCATTATAATAAGGGGACTGAGTTGGCAGAATTATTTGTGTCTACCGAAAAGTTCTAGAACCCTCGAGCGTTGGAATTTTGACTTACTTGACTTGGAGGGAATATTGCAGGATTATTAATTTCACTTTAATTTCTATCTTCCAATTAAAATTATCTAATTAAAAATAATTTAGCACAATATCTGAAGTAAATTATGCTAAAGAAAGACCAGATAATTTTTTTACAGATATGGTTTTCAAAATCAAAATCTTTAGGAAATGCAGCAAATTTTGTTTTCCGATGTTCTATCAAATTCATTGAACGCTAGTATGAAATTTATAGTTTTACCCACTTGAGTAGTTTCGAACGTTAAGGAATTGACGATTAGTGGGATTACTTCTAATTTTAAAGTTATGATAATATTCACAAAATTAACTATGACAAAAATTAACAATTTTAAATTTTAGAGAAAATTAGAAGTCATACAATTCTAAATTACATCTTGCAGAAACAGGTACGCGATACAATAACAAATCAAATGGTGTTAAATTTTATCAAATTTAAAAAAAAATTGAATTCGAAAGTAATGAAATTTTGCCTATTTAAGTATTGAGTGCAGCCCATTTACCTTTTCAAAAATCGAAACGCCAGAGTCTTTTAGCAACAGTATAACTATGTCTTCTTGAAGAAATATTAATAACTTTAATATTTCAAATAATATAATACGTCTAATATAATACGTAATAATATGAATATAAAACGTCTTTTTGATTGCGCCTATGGATTCTACGCTGATAACATTAACTTCCGAGAAGAACAAAACTTTTCGAATCCTATTTATTTTCTTTATATCTTCAAGCACACGAATCACAGGAGAATATGGTTTATAGAAACGTTTTAAGAGGAAGTTATACCACGTGAGAAACTTTTCGTTACGAATTCTCTTTTAGCCCCTTTACAGATCTACAACTGTAAAAATTTAAAGTATGGAAAAAGTCACTTCA